GACTCCCTCGGTGACTCTCCGGGTGTACACATCCTCATTGGGGCGTCGAGGCAGCAGCAGCAGCAGCAGTGCCAGCAACTGGTTGCCAAATAATTCGCGCTCGCCCCGTGGGACCGACGTGCGACGTTACATTACACACTCCCGCATCCGCCAGAACAAAAAGTTACAAGCGAGAGCTGCCCCTGCGAGTTTTTTCGCGATGTTTTTTTTTTAATTATTCAATTATTTATCTCGTGCAGCAGCGCACGAGTCGAAGTCCGAGGATGAAATCAATTTTTTCTTCTTACATTCGTGGCATAACGTGGAAGTGACGGGAACGGACAGCGATGATGCGTGCGTTTTCTCTCCTTGTCGTTCTTTCCTACGCGAAGGAGACCGTTGGTCGAAAAAGCGGCACGCGATCGGCAGGCGGATCACGCGCGGCGAGCGACAATTACTGGGTCGCCGCGTGCGCCCGCGACAAAAGAGTCTCTATTACGACATCAGCCGCGGCGCGCCTATTTCGATCGCTCCTTGCCGTTTTCATTCCCGTCCGCGCGGGCTTTTCCGGATTTTCGTCGGATACTGCTTCGGCAGCGCGCCTTGAACTTTCGCGGGTATTCGTTCGTTATTTGCGCGGTGCCGGCTAGCCGTTTGCTCGATTTTACTTGATGCTTCGTTCGCAGCGCGATGCTTTCGCGTATTTACGTTGCTTCTAATCGAGACGAGTTTGGCACGTTGCCTTCGTTTCTCCACAGCTATAATTTACAGTTTAGCGCGATCGCGTGGGATTCCGAACTTTCTAAATGGCAACGAAAAGTCAAGAATCTCGACAATTACGTTTCCAATTCGAAGGATACATCCAATAAATGCGGTTCGATCGATTAGATCAAAGCAATACTGTAATCCAAGCGTATAACCACGTTAATGAAAAGCCCATCCCGCGAAAAAAAAATCCATAATCTGCGATGATTTTCTCGTATACAAGCATATTAGGTTGTTGGAAACGAAAGAGGACGCGAGATCGATCTCCCGAGAGTACAATAGCGATCGTTATGAGCTTTCCGCGAGTATCGAATGGAAAAGGCGAGCATTTGTACGTAGATTATAAGCGCGTGTTGTACAAAGCTAAAGACTGTGTAAGGGCCGAATTCCCCAGAGGGATGCGTATGCGAGTGGCCGGGAGCTTAAAGCCGGAGCTGTTTTAGCCCCTTCATAGACGATTAATCCAGTTTACTCGTACTACACCCGACTCCAGCCAGCAATAGCTAAAGAGCTATTTCTCTCTATATCTTGTTTTCAGCTTATATACAGACGATGTACTGCGCGAAGAATCCTCACAAGTGCCCCCTCTCACCCTCTCACTCCCACGCTCGCCCCTCTTTTCAATGCCACTCGAACGTTCGACCATTTGTTTCCAATTGCTTCCCAGCTGACAGTCGCCGATTATACTCCGTCATAAGTTTTAATCCAAGGAATAACTACTATATCAACTACGTAAATCAACGCGTTTACGCATTAAAGTAGTCGCGTGACGCGCGACAACCGATAAATTAGATCGAACGAAACCGGCAGCGGGCAGGTTTCGCCGAAAGTAAGGGAACGCCCGGGCGAGAAAAGAAATCATCGATAGCGAGCCGAAAAATCGCGCACCCTTGCAGCGACAATGCAACGCCGAGGCAGTTTAGCGCTACTGTGCGCGAGGGGGTTGCGCGCGAGAGACAGAGACAAAAATAGGGTAGGAAAAAAACAACAAGAAAGGCAAAAAAACGTTCTCTCTTGGTTGGTAGCTAGGCATGAGATCAAAAAGAGAGAGAGCTGGCTGCGCGCGCGTGGCAAATGCAAACGCAGGAGGGAGAGAGAGAGAGAGAGAGAGAGAGAGAGAGAGAGAGAGAGAGAGATCTCGCCCTTCTTTTGTCCCTCGGCCCGATATTGAAATGGAGTCATTTGAGTGTGAGTAATGTGCTTTGCCGTGCGCGCACACAGCCCTCGCGCTTGCGCCAGCTCACGTACGCCGAGCTGCCGGCGCTACTGCTGTATGCGTGTAGTATATTCCCGAAGCTGCGATGTATGTATGTATATATATTTCGAGACGCCGACGCCGACGCCGCAAACTTCTCCTCCGACGGACCGGAAGAAACTATTCGCTCGCTTTGCGTCGTCCCGACACTTTGCTCTTTCTGCCGCTTCCCTCTCCCCCCCACCTCCTTCTCTCTATACATATATATACGTATATATCTATACGAGGCAGAGCCTCTTTTGAGATATGTGCCTCGAGCTACTGCGTCTTTTCCCAATTTTCATCGGTGCACACTTCTTTTTCTCCTATCGCGGACTTTTCGATTTAAGACTCATACTGTTGAAATGTTGACTCGACACGCTGTCATTTCGCTGGCTTTATTCAAATGAGGAGTCCATTTATTTGATTCGCGACTCGCTTGTTTACAATCCTGCTGCGCAATGTTCTGAGAAATCGCGATTGCCCTTCGATAAAATGTCGCATGACATAACAAGTACCTGCTCGATATGACAATTGATTGTTATTATTCTGGACTCGTGTGTCACTTGGCGGCAGAAAGCAGTTCAAGTGTAATGGAAACTTTTCTCACAGTCCGCATTGACGATTCAAATTAAATCAGCGTCAATTCAATAGAGGCATTTATTTCTTTTCTAATACAATGCTTCGATCTGGTCGTGTCAATTTGTCAGTTTCGGATGGTTAGGATTGCATTGACTAATGCGAATTATATTTTCGTTGATGATTCACGAATGACACGCTTACAATCGGGTCGCGACATTAATATTTACTAGATGATGCTACAGTGACAGACGATAAAAATATTAAGCACATTTTTCACTTCGTCACGATATGCAGCAAAATCTGATTTTTTTAAATGACTAAACAAATAATTATAATCTTCAAATTGTAAAATGGTCAACCGAGTTCCAATGTCGATTCTGTGTTATTGCGCTTTCAAATGCTCAATATCTCAAATCTTTCCCAAATGGCTTCACGCACAACCCTTGAAGTTTTTGGAAACAGAGTTTATCGATGAATGAAAGCACCATGAACTTCAGGAGAAGTTGGAAGGGTCAAAGTTTGATTTTATTTTAGCCGATCTATTCTCGTGCGCGCGCGGAAAGGTTAATGGCGTCAGGCCACCAACGGATGATCAGCTTCATCAGAAATTCTGTAACGATCATCACCTTAGACTCGGCCCTGATCGCGATATTTTACAACGCTCACACGTGCCCAGCCTTAATTATTTTATCCAAAGGAATCGTCCGTACGGGAGGTCATTAGCGAATTTTATCATCTATCATTTGCAATTGTACTCAACCAAGCCATTACTCAATGAGTGTAGCTGAAGTTTTTATAGCACGTAAATGCATAAGTTTGAAGTATATGTCGTAATATCACAAACGAAATAATCTTTCCCTACTCAAATGCCACTTTCAATTATCTTTGTAAAAGGTAATATTTCATACGAAGCACCCTCTGCGTTATTCTACCTAAACATTTCAGCTTCTCGTCGTAAGCGCTATACATTTTTATACAGAATTAGAAAAGTTAATCTCGAACGATTTGTCAGATGAACAAAGTAATAAGAATAGTAACACAAGTTTTGAAAGTAAATAAGGACTTTACAAAAATCTTGATTAACTGATTTGCAATTGAAAAAAATGTACTAGTCGATTAAGAGACTCAAATTCTGTAGAAAAAAGTAGCACGACAGTCTCAAGGGTGTAGTTTACCGATCACAAAAGCGCCCCGGGGCAAGTTGTATACATATGCTCTCGGGCTTGTTAATAGCGAATTGCCACGTATTATGAAGCGAAGCACGACGCGACTCGAATGTAATCTTTTTAACGTGCTTATGATTCTCGACCCTGTGTGTGTGTGTGTGTGTGTGTGTGTGTGTGTGTGTGTGTGTGTGTGTGATGCACTCGAAGAAAGGCTAAAAATTACCCATACGTAATCGCAGGCCGTCGCGAATCACAATGTCAATGGATAGAAGAGAGATTGCAATCGCTCGGCCGTTTCGTTTATTGTCACGCCGAGCGCGTTCCTTTTATGTGATGATACGATTTGCAAATTTATCTCTTGATTATATCAGCGACTTGGTCTTAGTGGCACACAAGTTGCTGCGGCTTATTGACATTCATATCGCCCTTATGTTTTTTCTTCACACAGAGATGTTTCGTACTTAAGAATTCGCCAGCTCTTCGAATCTTGCGTTCGGTACGAAATAATTGAATTCCACCCAATGATTCGACAATGAACACACTTTCCTTTGTGATGATTTGACATTGAATTGAAAAAGATTGCACTTAGAAGTCTTTTTAGAGATTATCCTGTTCAAGGTCTTATCAATATGTACACTGCCAACAATGCCATGTGGATTCTCTTATTCTGTTCGGTCCACTTTGATTATACAAATCAGTTTGGTTCCGTGTTCTTCAAACCCATTGATTTGCTTATGTCAACATTGAATAAGATATAAAAATAGAATTACAAATGCTATTAACAAATTATCTAAAAACACTTGAAACCAAATCTTGAATACATGCAAAATAAAATCCATTATTTATTTAAGCAAACAAAAAACAGTTGAATTATATGAGGCTCAGCGAATGCAACAGTCGTTTAAAGTTCCTCCCACACATCAAGCGAGATATGTCCAAGGCGGCATTGTGTTGACGGAATCCTTAAGCAGCTCCTCGTAGCCTGACGAATCGGCCAAATTCGTCGGTACGCAAACACACGAAAGCACTCTCGCTCTTTCTCGGGTATTTACTAATGAATGAAATCTTCTGGCGAATGTGAATTTCTTGACGATTTTGTTTTCGGGTGGTCGTTCTTTCTTACGAGGCCAATGCCGATCGAGCAGAGAGCTCCGTCTGGGCAGATGCTTTACGGTGGCGTTTACGCATTCGAGGCGCGCCTCGCCAGCGCGCGGCCTGCACAAGTATATATAATCCAGCCAGTCGAGACGTTCGGCAATCAGTTGCCTCGACAGCGTTGCACCGTGTACACCAACGATCCAACATAGTCATGAAGGTATCGAACACACGCAATTGCGTTAACGGACTTTTCCCATCCGTTTTCGTCATCGCGAATTCGCTTTCGATTTTTATACGTCTTGCGTGTACAGTGCCAACGTGCTTCTATCACGCCTGTCTGTGCTGAGAAGTTGGAGTGATTTTAAGTGAAATTTCAGATCTAAACTTTCTTTAAACGACTGGTTTTTCGGATTTAAGAATATTCGGGTGGAATAACCGACAAGTTTTTTACTTAGGATTTCTTGTTACGCAATCGATAGCATTTTGAGTATTAAATCTTATTTTCAATGTTGTTTGAACTATTTCTGGCAGCTTCGCATCAAAGTGTCATCCTACATTCATCAAGTTTGTATTTTGCACAATCTTTAACACCTCATCCATAACAAATTATAGGTGTTCCTAAGTCTCGCCCTTGTCGCGGCAGTGGCATTCGCCGAGCCGCCATCCAACCGCCAAAAGCAGTATTTCTTCGGCCAACCGCAAGATGCTTCTTCGGGTCCATATCCAGATTCCTCGGCATCGGGACCATACCCACCTAGCGGCTGGAGGCCCGACGGTCCAACTTTCAATCTGCCCGAACGTCAACGTGCTCTCCCTCAAAGACAGCAGCAACCTCGTCAACAATACGGACCACCTCAGCAACCACAGCAACAGTACGGGCCACCTTCGCCACCTCAGCAACAGTACGGACCTCCAGCCCAACAACCCGAGCAGCAGTACGGCGCAGCCGCAGGACAGGGCCCGTCGCCGCGTCAGAATTTGCCCTCGAGATTCAGAAGTGCGCAATTCGCTAAGCAACAGGAGCAACCTCAGCTGGGATATGGCGAACCGGTGTCGCAACAGCTTCAACAGGGATACGGCGAGCCAGCACCGGCAGCTCAGCAAGCTTATGGAGCACCGTCAGCTAGGCAGCAACAGCAGCCCCAGAACTCATACGGTGTCCCGTTGCAACCTCAGCAGCAGTACGGCCAATCGGATTACCCAACCAGCACTGACTATTCCACTGCCACTGAGATCGACGAGCCCATCACCGAGGCTGAACCAGAAGTGATTATTTTGTTCGCTTGTCGTTCGCCGGACTTCTCTTTCGATCAACTAGCTTTTGTTTCCACTTCGTTTGCCAAAACTCGCGTATCACTGATGTCTTCTTCTTACTTTACAGATCGAGCAAGTGAAATCGGCAAACGAGCTGGACGAGGTAGAAGGTGACATCGACGAGCCGCGCAACCAGCAGCGCAACCAGAAACAGCAGCAACAGCCACAAGAGAGCGGCGAGTACTACGTGGCGCTTCCGGACGGACGACTTCAGCGCGTCCGCTACGTGAGCCGCCAGGACCTCGAAGCAATGGCTTACTTCGCCAAGATTCGCGCCGAGAACGTCGAGCCACTCCGTGGACCAGTCTACGCTTACGCTCCTCTGCAGAAGCTCGAGGCTACGCCCGGCAACCTTCAAGTCCAAGCTGTAGCTCCGGTCGTTCCTCTGACAGAGAACAGGCTGACGATCCAGGCTGAAGCTAGGCCGCAGAAACTCATAGCTCCCGCACCTAAAGTTGATATTAAGCCTCTCGCTCAGGTGCAATACCAACTGGACAACCCAGCCAGGGTTGTGCCATTGAGCTCCAGCTATACCACCGTTACGAATACCTATGGAGCGTCTGCTCAGGTCGCCACTCCCGTTGACGATAGGTTCATTCTCGCTATTAATCCTTGAGCGGTCAACGAAATTGGATTTTGGAGCGCTCGAGGAGCTCGTCGTGTCGGAAAAGAGACTACGTGCTGTGAGAATTCTTTGGCTCTCTTTCTGGCGTCTCTGTATATTCTGTACATTAACTCTCAAATAAAACAATATTCACAATATCTTAATTGGAAGTGTGTGTTTCATATGAAACTAGATCCTTTGAACGAGCTTTGATGAGATATCTAATGAACAATGAAAATACGATAAATACGGATAAATTGCCACGCGACTAAAGCAATATTTATTTGATTAATATATCCTCGAGCAACAGCTACCGTTGGTAATGTTCGACAAAGTGGTTTCAACCGAATATCACTTTATCCATTTGTATCGCTCCTGACTGTAAAGAAAGCAAGATTTCAATAAAACAGCGTACTGTCGATACGAATACGTAGCATTATCAAAAGCTTTTGCGCGAAACAGTACAACGTGAAACCGTAACGAACCGCTATACAGGTATCGTTTATGAAATTGCGACGCAGAAAATCGCGCGCTCGTACGTGCGTGCCGCAACAAGGCGATGAACGCGACCGCGGAATTCACGGGAATTAAATATCGGGGATATGCAGCCGCATAAGAAAAGGGCTTCCTAAGGCTTCCCCATTTCCATGGCGATTGTCGCGGGGGCGCCGTCTCGCGTTCACTGACAACATCCCGACAACTCTGGACAAAGATTTTAAAGTGGCACACAACCTTGAACATTTACGCGATTATCCGGCCATTGACGCCAGAACAAGACGGACCAGCAGGGAGAGAGAGACGGTATAATCCATTGGATCAACGCGACATAATTAGAAAAGTCATCCGAGGTATAGGCGTGCTCTCGTGCTTTGCGTATTCCCCATAACGCGCTAAACGGACATCAAAGCCAGAGAAACTTGGCGCGCAATATTCGCTCGGCGAGCGAGAGGGAGGGAGGAACTGGACGCTCGACCAATCGAGCGGCATAATGAAATCTGAGCGCGACTCAGAGAGCTACCAATTAAATCGGGGGCTTGTTATAGCTGACCGGCCGCGCATAACGCGCTTCCGCTCTGCCAAGTTTTCGACTGCAGGCCCGTGCGCTATTTCCGCCTCAAACTTGGCGCCTCGTTTTGCTCTTCGTGCTTTTTTTCGGACTTGTTCCTTCGAGGCCGGCGCGGCCCACGACAACTTACAGCCTCACCACTATTGCGCACACCTTTCGTGTTCCACTTTGTATAGAGGATCGAGTGCCAGTTGCGACTGATGGTTTAGTTTCTGCGATTAGTTAACGAGATTTTCCAGCTCATTGGCCAGCTGCCTAGCTTCAGAGCTCTTATTAGTGTGTAACCTGCTCGCTAAGTTCATTTTAAGCATTCGTTGGTCGACAGACAAATAAAACACGCAATTTAGTGTAATTAAATGTTGGCCGGCGCGATAAAATTATCAAATTGTTGTCGTTCCATTTCATCAAAATTAATTTATTTCAACGTTGAACGGTTGTATCCTTTGTTATCCGATGAAATCAGGTAGAATAATATAAAAAGCCTTTATTTCGCGCCACATAATTATCGCTTCGTTACGTCTACGTACTCGAAAGTAAAATAATATAAAAGGAAAAAGAAAATGATAATGAGATAGCAATCGATTCAATCTCATTACCGCGATTCTCATCAGTTCACTTTTACTAATCTTTTATCGCAATTTCTTCGGTCAATTACCGCGAAAAAAGCGATCGCAGCTTATAAGAAACAAAAAGAGAGAAAAATCGAATCAAAGGAAATTTGGCCGAGGGAGAAAGAAAATGAGTAGAGAGATGGAGCAACTTCCGGAAAAATTAATATCGTGCAAAAAGGGAGAAGGATTTTGGCGAAGAGAGCGGGGGTAGAGTACGCGCAGCTGCCGCCGGCCAATAGGGAGAGCCGCAGCCGTAGCCACGGAAGACGCGGAGGGTTGAAAACTTTCGTTTCCGAAAACAAGCCCCGTGTTTGTGCCGACTAAATTGGCGCGTCGTTTAATGTTTATTGCTCGCCGATCCCCTTGATCTTGGCTCCAGAATTTATTGTTATAAAAACACGCGACCGAGATTATTTGTTTTGACGTGCGCTTCACAATCGTCCAGGACAATCGACACCTGCGTGCACACGATTAATTAGCATTGAAAAAACATTAAAACACATTGGCTCAGTGGTGCGTACAACGTGTCGAGATCAAAATCGAAATTGTCCGAACGCATTGTGTGCAGCGCCTACTGAACGTGCTAATTGTATGAAAATATAACGAAGCTAACTCATCCGTCTAGCCGAGACAATGTAGCCTCGAAGATACGAGAAGGTAATTTTAGACCAGATAAAAATCCGAGGGTTGCGGGATGCGCGGCCGGTGTATACGTGTGCGAGCGGAAGTCTCGTATGTCGGACTCGGAGAAAAATTGGAAATTCAAAATACGCAAGGCCGAGCATCTGTCGTCGGTAGTACGCGTGAATGCTCGAGTATCTCGTAACATAATTTCTTAATTAATTTCGATAAACTCACGTACTTTTAACCTTAGCATTAACTGTTATAATTAAATGTTGAATTAGTTGGTTCACTTTTAAACTGAAACACTAACCAATTGGATACATAATAATTTATTGTTCAATTAAAAGCAGAAGCTAAATGGTAGAACGATGAGTGGTACGCCAAAGTGGATTTGCTCTAATGTCAGCTATCGATTTTTTTCGCGGCGCCTCACGCATGTGCATAAAAAAACTTGAGAAACAAAACACGACACTGGCTGTTGTGTCAATATCAAGCATCGTTTCGTTATTCGCGCGACACAAAAGTGGAGGCTGGGCAAGCGTTTTACGCTGAACGCCGATGTAGCAACGAGAAAGTTATTCGCGCGCGATTGTTCTCTTGGGAATCGCTGCGTGATACGCAACCACATGCGGCACTGACCTTTAAATGGCTACGTACTTCAACAACTTTATTCTCATGTATTTGTTCATTTTCATTTGCGAGTTCTTACAATTCAATGGGAATTTCGTGATGAATAAACGATTTCTTCTAGTTTCTGCGATTGCGAAAACTGCATTTTATCAATTGAATTCATTAAATACGTGTCCAACAGATTACTGGTACAGCATTTCTAATATACCATGATGTAAATTGTAGCTATTCTCGAGTTAAAACTATATCGCTACTAATTTCTGATGAAACAATTTTAGCCAAACATTGCATTAATAATTAATCCGTCTACCACAAGAAATGATGTTATAATAGCTATAAAATAAGATTTCGGGAGGACAGCAATATTTCGACTGATTAAACCTGACACCACTCCAAATCCACTGCAATCGCGCGTACCTAGTAGCAGTCCTGGTGTGAGTGCAAAAATCCATTGCACTTTCATAGCGTCGGGGCGACGCACATGTGCCAAGTCCACAGGGTGCCGTGGACCTTTTTGATCTCCCGTTGTTTATACGCGTTTTGTTGGCTGCTCGGCCGATCGAGATTAAGAAAATAGCGGGAGGCCGTCAGCCAGCGAGCAAGTCGCTTCTCTCCCCCATCGACGCAGGTAAGGCGAGCTGCTGGGAATCGAACGCTCTGCTACACGGAGGTAGGAGAAATTACCCTTTGTTATTACCGAGGGTAAGACTATTATTCGACATTCGTACTCGAATAACATAAAGTGGCTGAAAAATTGGTGGCTTTGTTGTCCTGTGATTAGCATATTTGGAATTAAAAAAGCCGACGCGGATTTTGCAATGGAGGTCGTAAAATTTACCATTCGCAAATTCCAATTGAGAGAGATACACTTTGAGAGGTCGATTGGCAATGGATAGGAAAGGCACAACTCAACGTCCGACCTTTGCCTTCTCGTATCGGCACCTGCTCGAGAGCACTCGATGCGCGCGTGCGTAGAGAAAAAAAACATCGGGGCGGTGTGACGACGGGGGGAAAAAAAGGAAGTCATTTTTCTCTCACAGCCCTCCTTTCCTACGCCGACGTCTACGCCGTCGATGCTTCGACGTTTCGGCATCCATTATGCGATGTACGCTCGCGAGAGAGAGAGAGAGAGATAGAGAGAAAGAGAGGGTGACGAAACAATAGGAAACGAAGGAGATGCTTTGCCTTTGTGTCGTGCGTATATCCGAGGGGTCTCCCGCTCTCTGTGTATACGTATTGTGAGCGATCGGATGTGCTTGATTATGTCGTTGGAGCATCGACGGTGGCGTGAAGAATCGTTCTTCTCGATTATAATCCCGTCGCGTCTTGACTTTCAGCGCTCGCTTACTTTGGATGCGATTGATTATTCCAACTGCGTTGCCTATACAATCTTTAGCTGGAAGTCATCGCCGTTGCTAGTCGGCAAAGTGCCACGTGCTCGCCAGGTCAACCAACAGCGATCCGACAGGTTTCGCAGCGGCGTCCAATTAAAAGAACCGGCCAAGGATAATTCAAGGAATTCGCGATTATGCAGGCAGGCAGGCAGGCAGGCAGGCAGGCGCGCGTAATTCGATCTCGAAAGTGCGTTCAATATACTTTGAACGAACTGGCGCACCGCACGCGGAGCGAGACAGAGAGAGAATGACACTTTTCGCCGAGGGGCCGGAGCATGCCGATCGGTAAACCGCAGGCGTGCGATATTTTCTCTCTTGACTCAAGACGCGTGCTTGTCATTAAATTGCAAGAGAATACTTTGCCGAGTGCTAACGGGCTCGATCATGGCTGGTTTTGTCGGCGAGGATCGTTTTGCTTGCCACGTTACTCTTCCTCGGTCGTGCGTCCGCGACGAACGACGGATTTCCCGCGGGGAGCGCGCGATTCTCCAAATTATTCTTCATACACGTGGTCGACCGTCAAAAAGATACGCGAGAAAAGCGCGTATCGCGGCTAGCGACGAGCGAATCCGAATTAATCGTTTAAAAAGAAAAAAAACAACAGCAAAAAGGCACAGCTCGAAAGCGCAAATTTGAAAAGGAGCCAGGGGAAAAAAAAGCGCGAACGAGCGCGCCGAACAAAGAGCACAGCGAAGAAGAACTAATCCGGGGGAAAATGATCGCGCTCACGCGCGGCCAATATGCACAAAGCGCAAACGATTTCGTTTTTGGGCGTTGCTGTAGATATATGTATATATATATATATGCATGCACATGCAGCGCGC